TTCCTGCTGGATTTATTACACTGATTAATCAACTAGAATTTGTCAGCTGTAGTTTTAGAAGTCCTTCCTTTCAACGGCCTTAAGATTCTGGTGAGAAGAGTTAGTTCCTCACTGGATATTGAAAATGAAAGAGCAGAAGTAGATTTTTTTAGGTGATGTGAAAGCTTCAGATTGTCAAGAGCTTGTCCCCGAGGAGCTGCATTCCTGAAGCTTCCCCAAAGCTGCTGCACAGGGACTGAAGCCTGATCCATCACTTCCGATTGTGTAACTTGTGTAGTCAGGACTCTTTTAGCTGCCCAAATGTAGTAGCTCTTGTCCCAAGATCACTTGATGCAGAATCTTTTCCTACTTTGACTTTTCTTTTTTCCCAGAAAAGCTTTCATTTGGCTCAGGAGGAAAGGTAACAGCTCTACTGCTTTGAAGAAGGAAATAATTCCGAATCCCCTTATAGTGGTGGTTGATTTTGAAACCCTTCAGAGCAGTGGTCCTGTGGAGCACCATGCAGCACAGGAGACTCCACTGAAAGACATGCCAAGACAAAACTGAGCCATATCCTAGGTGGGAAGTTCTCTTGGTGCCCTGTATCTTTCCTGTCAGCTGGATATTTGAAACCAGTGGTGATGCTCTCAATTGGGAATACTGAAGTGGCTGTTGGTCTGTCTCCTACCGAGTGAGGACAGCAGCTTGAGTCAACACTCAAGACAGAAACCCAAACCCTTTCTCACAAAGTATCCCAGTCCAGACCCCTGTAACTGAGTTTCTAATTGCACTATCTGATATTTTGCTTTTCATATAACTTCTTGAAACTTATTTTATTGTAACTGTAATTATTTTTGTTCTCACCTATTGTGCATTCTCTGTATGTATTAAAAAAAAAAAGCTTTGATATGTAATTTAATAATAAATTAGAACTCTAAGCAAGGTGTTTGATTCTTTCCCCATGACAATCTTGGCTTACCTAAAACTCAGGGAAGATGCAGAGAAGATTGGTCTCTTCAGTATGGGGTTGTGAATTAGTGTGTCTCTCCCTTTGGGTACCAAATATCAGACGTGATGGAGCATTTCCTGGCCCCAAATGCTTGGTGTGATGGGATGTGTTCCTCCTGGACCCCCTTCTCTGCTTCCACTTCAAGCATCTGCATTGGAAGGTTCTGAATGTAGTCAAGACTTGCTGTTCAGATGGAACAAGGATGGTGTTCTGTACAGGTAAGCTTTACCAAGTTTTCTATGTAATCTTAGTAGCAAACGTTAAATTCCCAAAGGCACCCCGAAACTGATGTATTGACTGGTGTTGATTTGAAGAGATTCGGTAATTTAGTAGCTTTTTTCCCCAACCACAGCACAAACACCAAAAATTAGTCTGTACTTTTGAGCATGGTACTAGCAATTGTAAAAACTCTCTCCATGATGTTCTGTTGTGTCCTATAGTTCTGTAGCACCGCTGCAGTCTGGACTCACTCCATCTCTGGTTGTTCAAACCAGTCGTGCCTGAAGGACCTGTCTCTCTCTGGTGGGGTTGCAGTTGGTGCTCCCTCTTTCCATGCCACTCCAATTTATTTCCTATGGAGCCAGGCTGAGAGAGCTGGGCTTGTTCAGCCTGGAGAAGAGAAGGATCCTTCAGGGGAGACCTTAGAGCAGCTCCAGTGCCTAAAGGGGCTCCAGGAAACCTGGAGAGGGGCTCTGGACAAGGGCCTGTAGGAACAGGACAAGGGGGAATGGGTTTAAGCTGAAAAAGGCTAGATTTAGATCAGACATTAGGAAGCTCTTCCCTGTGAGGGTGCTGAGGCGCTGGCACAGGGTGCCCAGAGAAGCTGTGGCTGCCCCATCCCTGGCAGTGTTCAAGGCCAGGTTGGACACAGGGGCTTGGAGCAACCTGCTCTAGTGGAAGGTGTCCCTGCCCATGGCAGGGGGTTGGAACTGGATGAGCTTTAGGGTCCCTCCCAACCCGAACCAGTCTGGGATTCTCAAACAAGAAAATCTCCCTGGCAGTGTGTTTCCTGTCTGTTTGCATGAGGCTGGGAGGGGAGAGGAGGGAGGTAGCTCTTGGCTGTCGTGCTGTGCCTGCAATGCTGCTTTAAAGCAGAGAGAGTTTTCTGTACCCTTAATGTGCCTACTAAATATTCAGGAATGACCATATGCCTTCTCAAGGGAAAGCTTTGAATGCTTCAAGCAAGAGAAGAAACTTCAAAAACTTCTGGAAATGGAAAGGCAATGCTGGTTTCAGATGGTGGGAAGTGCAGTTGGTTTTTCCAGTTGCAGCGCTGGTAATAAGTGGTGCATAAAATTCCATCTTCGTTTGGATTAGAAACTAAATTGTTAATGGAGCTGAATCTTTTTCCCAGCTCCTTGTACAGTCAATAATTTATAGTGGCACAGGCGTAAGATACATATTTTTAACCATCCGCCTCCCAGAATACTGTTGTTCATATTGAAATCTGCTGTCCTT